GTTGTATACCTACAATGTACCAATAAAAGAATTTAATACAAAAAAAAAGATTACACACCATGATCCAAATATCAAATAATGTGATGGATCATGTCAGTACAATAAACTTTTTAAAGCAAAAACTAAAAAAAAAAAATAAAATAAAGTTGACAAATCGGGCATAACTGAATCAGAAGATAATTAAAATTATAGGTCAAGCAAATGAGATTTTTTTTAAAGAAGAGGGAAAGTTTAAACATGAATATAATTAGGCAATGGCATGGGTTGCTCACTTCCCTTTCTCTTGGTTTCATTTCTCTTTTTAGGATTAAACACTCCTAGTATGTAAATTATTCCATATGAAGACTTCCAGAGTTCTTTCTGTTAAGATTTGCAGGGATCTTGGGCCGGGGATTTAGCTCAGTGGTTCCACTGCCTGCCTCGCAAGTGCAAGGTCCCGAGTTCGATCCCCAGCACCAAAAAAAAAAAAAAAAAGATGGAAAATTTGCAGGGATCTTTATGCAGAAGAAATTATTTCTACTTTTTGGTACCAGAGATCGAACTTGGGACCGTGCACTTGCAAGGCAGGCGGCGGAACCCCTGAGCTAAATCCCCAGCCCAAAAGAAATTATTTCTAGACTTCCATCTGATTTAAAGGGGGTACAAAGCATTGAGGACTTACAAAATAAAACTAACGTGGGTAAATGTATATGGAAACAAATAATTGAAGATCTGATTGTAGCTATTTAGCAATGGTTAAACAGCAAAAATGGGATGCTGTATGATTTTAGGAACATGGTAGTATAAGAGGTACCTATAGGTACTCCGCTGCTTAGGAGTACCTAAGTGTTGGGGTGCTTTGTTAAGTACTTGGGATTCTTCTGAATTAGTGTCCTCATAAACCCATCAGATGGGTATATCTACTTTAACTGTATAAAAACTAAGGAAGAACAAAGGCTCAGGGTGGGTAAGTACTTAAATAAGGTCACACAGCTTAGAAAGTAAATAAGCTTTGAACCCTGTTCTACTCAACATCAAATCTTCTCATTCCATGAATGATGCAGACTTTAAACATCACATAAATAGTTGAAAAAAATTTTTCCCTTTTCATACGACTGTTTTAAATATTTGCCATCATTTCAAGAGAAGCTTATGTTAAGCATGACTTCATAAACAAATTACTTGTGAAAGAGAAAAACCGCATGCAGGGTAAAGTTGTAAGTTGAAAAGGCTTATTTCAAAGAGCACTTCCTGAAAGAGAGAAGCAATTTCGGCCAACTCCTCCAGCGAGGATTGCCTTTGAAACATCTTGTTAAAGCAACAAGCCAGCTTAACACAAAAGAAATATAGCATTTCTGAAATGCACCATTTCCAGACAGAGATATTTTAACACCAGCAACTCAGAAATATCTCTTTTGTAGAACCAGGTATACCAGAAAATGCTCACTTCTACAACAGCCCTCTAACCAGCGAGAGGTAAGCAGCATTCACTTAACTTTGTAACATCATTATCAGAAGTAATGCTTTACTTACTTACTCAACATCATTGTTTATTTTTTTTAAATATTACAGAAACTACATTGGTAAAGGACTTTGAAATAGGTTATTATCATTTTCCCGTATTACTATGATTTTGTATTTTTTCCAATATTCTTTACATTAACTGTAAATAATTTTTTTCAAATTAAGGAAATGTTGATGGGATGAATCATAAATATATTCAGGGTGTCTTTGCCACATGGTTTGAATTACATTGTTTCATGAAATTAATTGTTTTTAAGAAAAGAGTAACTAGAGATAATCAAGGAATCTAAAGCTTTACAGAGTTAACTTGAAAACCAATCATTTAACACTTATCCAAAACAATTCTGTATTTGCACAGCACAATCTACATTATAATGCCTTTAAGACACATGCATGCAACTCATTGTTTTTTTCAATCTGAAGCAAATGAATACAAGTGTGGATGACAAATGGACTACATAAAAGCGGCCTGAACCCAAATGGAGGAAGGTTTACTTAGGAGTTTATAAACGTAGAAATTTATGAGAGGAGGAGATGGGTGGAAAAAAAAGAAAACAAAATTTCATTTACAATATAATTGCTACTATTTATAAATTCACTGAGATTTAAAAATAAATTTAAGATTCAAGCCTCTAAATGTATGATACTGAAAGTTTGAATTTTTCTATGTAGCACTTTTCTCATTTCATGGAAATTAATATTTAGTTACATCAATAGTTGGAAACTCTAATATAGGTTTTTAAATATATAGACTTCTATTCCAAAAATCATATTTAACCCAAGTAGTTGACAAACTAGTTTAGGAAATCGGGAAGGAAGAAAGTCAGGAAAGAAGGAAGGAAGAAGGGCAGGAGGGAGGGAACAAACTTCTTATCTTTTGTTTGTCCACAGCAATTTCTCAAATTAATATTTACCAACAGCTCATGATGTCACGGATGACAGCCTGCTAATCTCCCCCACAGTTTTCTCTAAAGAGAGATCAGAGGTGAACTGGAGACAAGTAATTCTACAAAGTGACATTTTTGAGGGAAATTTTTCTAACACCGCCACATTCCAAGGAGATTCCACCTCTTTGTCGCACAGCTATTTTTAAAACCTCTGTCGGTGGTTGCATCATGGGCAAGGGAAGTTTTATGTCACAGGGGTCAGTGATATTTACAATCACAGCTAAGTCCTTTTCCACTTGAAATGGACACATTTTCTGGGTGATGGGAATTTATTAGTTTCCATATATACATAAAGTTGCCAAGTGACTTCTTATTACTACGTCTTAGATATTCCTTTTTGAAACTTGACAGATGGTATGGATGCTTCAGTATGAGTTTCTGCACTGGCAGTAACCTTTTCAAAGCACTGCTTTCTGTGCACTATGGAGGTGGCTGAGATCAGTTTCCAGGACACTGGTCAGTGACCTGGCAGCCTTGGCCTTGGGCACACCCCACTGTGTGCTGAAAACAGCTCACTGATGGTCCAGCTCTCCACCTTAGACCACGACACAGAACACTGTAATTTCTAGACCTATGGGAACTCAAAGAGAACATAACATAACACTATGAAGAAAAATGTTGGCCATTTTTTTCCTGAGCTTTTCAACCACTTATTCCTGTTGAGGGGGTGCACCATTCCAGGAAGTGCCACCATACCAGGTCAATCCCCAGAGTGGACAGAGTAAGCTCCAATTTCATCTCCCAGCTCCAAAAATCTATTTAATACATTGTCCTCGGTCAGAGGATGCATCAAATATTAAAATGATAGGTGCTGGGGCTTTAGCTCAGTGGTTCTGCCACCTGCCCTGCAAGCGCAAGGACCCGATTTCAATCCCCGGTACCAAAAAAACACACACACACACACAAAATATTAAAATGATAAGAAGATAAGATATACCCTTATCTTAGCCAAAAGGACACGGAGTGACTGCCATTTAAAAAAATAATAATAAGGGTTTAATGGGCAACTATGAAAGTCTTCCTTGAGAAACCAAATAGCTGCTGAGGGTTACCTCATCAAACTTTTCGAGCTTTCATTCACTCATCCTTCACTCAGCAAGTATTTACTTATTGAGTACCCACTATGTGCTCACTAGACAATAAGGATGCAGTGGTGAAAAAAGTGTTTCTGGTCACAAATGGGCTGTCAAGTAATAACCAGTATGGTTCTTTTGTTAGTTTTCTAAAATATATTTTTTCTATTGAAATTTTTTTTTTTTTTTGGTACCGGCGATCGAACTCAGGTCCTTGCGCTTGCACAGCGAAATTGTATTTAATGAGTAAAAAAAAATTTGAACATTACTAATTTTGGTAACTAAATCTGTAAACAGAATGAAGATGATAAATAATGGCAAACCATTTTTATGAGACTTAAAATCCAGAATTGACTTTGCCCTGATTAGTCCAATCAAAGAATACTATCCAACTTCACACTATAAAAGAGAATCATAAAGAAAGCATATTCTTTGGGATGAAGGAAGGTGAGCAGAGGGAATGAAAATGAGTGTTTTGCCAGAGCACTTTGGTGTTCCAGACCATTTTACTAGATGAATACAATATCAGGGCTGAAGGTGTAGCTCAGTTGTAAAATGTGTGCCTAGTATGCATGATGCACTGTAGATTAATGTATAACGGCAATAACCTCTAGAGGACATATTCCTTATTGAGTTTACAACATAAGATGCTCTTAAAATTAAACAAATTAAAATTCACTAACCTGAAAACAGTCTAATAAGCAATTTTTAACTATGTTTACAGTTTCTAAGTATAATGCCTATCATCAAGCTATGACTACCTCAAGCAACCAAGATCAACCTGTCCCTTCCAATAGCTCACATCCAGATGAATACAAAGTCGCAGCCCTTGTATTCTACAGCTGTATCTTCATAATCGGAATATTTGTTAATGTCACTGCATTATGGGTTTTCAGTTGTACCACCAAGAAGAGAACCACCGTAACCATCTATATGATGAACGTGGCGCTACTGGACTTACTATTTATAATGAGCCTGCCCTTTAGAATGTTTTATTATGCAAAAGGTGAATGGCCATTTGGAGAATACTTCTGCCACATTCTTGGGGCTCTTGTAGTGTTTTACCCAAGCATTGCTCTATGGCTTTTTGCTTTTATCAGTGCTGACAGATACATGGCGATTGTGCAGCCAAAATATGCCAAAGAACTGAAAAACACATGCAAAGCTGTGTTCACATGTGTAGGAGTCTGGATAATGACGTTGACAACCACTGTCCCTCTGCTATTGCTCTATGATGACCCAGACAGAGCCTCCTTCCCAGCTACCTGCCTGAAGATCTCTGATATCATTCACTTAAAAGGTGCCAATGTGCTGAACTTCACTCGACTGATATTTTTTTTCTTGGTCCCTTTGTTCATTATGATTGGATGCTATTTGGTCATTATTCACAGTCTCCTCCATGGCAGGACATCTAAGCTGAAACCCAAGGTCAAGGAGAAGTCCATCAGAATCATCATCACACTCGTGTTGCAGGTGCTCATCTGCTTCATGCCTTTCCACATCTGTTTTGCCCTCCTAATGCTAGATGGGGAAGACAACAGCTACAGTCCCTGGGGAGCCTTTACCACCTTCCTCATGAACCTCAGCACCTGTCTTGATGTGATTCTCTACTACATTGTTTCCAAACAATTTCAGGCTCGAGTCATCAGTGTCATGCTGTACCGCAATTACCTCCGCAGTGTGCGCAGAAAAAGTTTCCGATCCAGTTTCCGATCTGGTAGTTTACGGTCACTAAGCAACATCAATACTGAAATGTTATGAACAGAAGGAAGCTGCTTCTCTTTAATCTCTTGAAAATTCATTTTTATAACTATTCTAGGGTTAGTGGAGATTCTGCATGATATTATCAAGTTTATCAAATAAACTTTTAAAAACTCATTTTAAAAAAAAGTCCTTCTTTTCAAACTTTAAAACCCCTTATTGTGGCAATATGACTCAATATCCTGATTTCAATTTTTATTATTTTCATTTTAAAACATATAAAACATTTTCATGAATAAACAGGGAAAAAATACCCAATGTTTTTCATACTCAAGCCTTATCTACACAGATAACTGACTTAACATTTTGGATTTAATTCTGTATACAAGTGACTCATATGAGAAAAAACCCAGCTAACTGCTCAAAATAATTTGAATAAATTATTTTTCATATAGCTGCACCTTTTATGTCTAACTTACACACAGGACTGGAAGTCTAAATTCAATATTTAACATTCTAAACACCAAATTTCTGAGATTTTTACACAAGCAACTGTGTTCAACTTAACACATTACTAGTTCAGAGCAAAATTCATGATGGCAAGCAGCAGAGGGGCCTGCAGAGCATACTCCCATTGGTACTTCACTGCTGCAAATTCATTTTCTTTGAAAATGGACTGCATAAGACTATGATTGAAACTTAACCGGAGACCTTACTTCTGCCCAATAATCCAATTGACTCCTATGACCTGAGATTTTTACTTTTCTCCAATGTTGAGAATATGCTCTTCTTGTGTAAATATTGTATTACAAAAGAGAGATTTTTCTAGGTTCTCTGTCACAGCATAAGTAGCAATTATCAGGGATCTTAGATGCTTGTCCCACCTTGGCTATTTAACTTCTCCATAAAGTAACAAACCAAATAACTTCTCCATCTAAAAGAAAAGGAAAACTATAATCTATAAAACGCCTATCATTCTAAATACTATGGAAGTAAAAAAAGAAAAGATTCAACTATAACCCCTTCTCTGCTAAATCACCTTTATTACTCCTAACATGATCACCTCCTAATGGGACTAAGAACCAAATACATGCACTGATTATAAATGGACTTCTAGATTTAACATGGGTACATTCATATTCTTAAAAAAAAAAAAGAAAAAAGAAACAAAGGAATCTAATCATAAAATAGTACTTTAGCACTAGAAGATCCCTCAGATGATCTAGAACTGCTCTGAAATATAAAAGAAACTAAGGTTGAAAGAAATTATGTGACTTGCTCAGCTAAAGAACCAGGACTAGAAACCAAGTTCAATTCTCCTTTCAGGTCCAATTTCAATAGTAAAAAAGAAAAAAGTTTTACCAAATGTAAACACTGTCATAACTACATAAGATACAGGAGTCAAGGTGGTACTGAGATGCAGTTTCTTCTCAGCAAAGAAAAATATTTGCCTTTAATTTGAATAGCCAAGTAAGATATTCATAAATATCTTTAAATGAATAATTACTGCTAAAACAAGAGAAATAACTTCTATATTTAATGTGGAGTTTTATGGTAGACACACACACACACACAGTTGACTGCGGTGTAGGTCAGTGGTAGAATGTTTGTCTACCATGCACCAGGCCCTGAGTTTGATCCCCAGCATTGAAGGTGGGGTAAAAAGATACAGAGTCACAGCCTACTTTCAACTCTATAGATGAATTCACACTTCTGCAACTTATTAAGAGGAAAGGTCTCTGGAATAGTTTTTATTGATAAGAAAAGTTTAGTCTTGAAACACAAAGCACAACAGAAGACTTTGGTAAACAAAGTGAAAATGCTATCATCATTCTTACAGTAAAATTACAGGCAATGTAAAACGATTTATGAAAAAATTATTCAGCACTGTAATCAGACACATTTTAACATAATATGTGGGCCGGGGATTTAGTTCAGTGGTTCCGGTGCCTGCCTCGCAAGCGCAAGGTCCCAAGTTCGATCCCCAGTACCAAAAAAACCCCACACAAACACAATGTGTAAAAATTCAAAATTCCATTCTGAAGGAGTTTGATTCTAGAAAACAATTTAACACCCACATGCAAATACCAATAACTATAAAATAATAAGTACAGTACATAAGGATAGATGTGTGACAGGCGTGGGTTCCTAGACATAGGATATATATGCATATATATATACACATATACAGATGGCTTTTAAGAATAGAGCTTCTTTGAAACCACTGGTTATATTTTCTAAATTTAAATAACAATGATGAATATCCATCATATATCAGGTACAATTTCTATGCAAAGCACTAGAAGAATAGATGAATGGGTCTACGTATGGTTCAAAGATCTTACCTCACAATCTGGGACTCACTGTAATCAAGACTATCCTTTCAATATTACTGAGCATAATGTAAAACTTGGTTCTCCCTCAAAGAGCTGGTAGGTGGCATCAAAGGCATATATAATGATGATGATGATGATGATGATGATGATATTATAATAAATATAGTATAATAAATACCAATGGGAATATTAAGAAACCATTGTATATTCATAAAAAAGGGCAGTAAATCCTAGCAAAAGGCAAAAAGCAGCCAAAAGCACACCAAATGGGCATGAGAATATAAATACTACACATAGCATGTTAAAAAAATCCAGGCCGGGGATTTAGCTCAGTGGTTTCGCCACCTGCTGCACAAGTGCAAGGACCCAGGTTTGATCCCCGGTACCAAAAAAAAAAAGAAAATCCAATGACTGATGGGGGAAAAGACTGAAACACTGAACGGTGGTCAGATTCTAAGGTCTTAAAAGAAGAAAGCCAACAGACAGGAGTAAGATCTACTGCAACCATCTTAGTGTGAATGAGCTTATTTACCTCTTTCCACTGGGCTGTGAAGTAGAGTACCTTGAACTGACACATGATGGTCATCTATACAGAGCACTCTGCATAGAACTTGAGAGAAGCTACTTGCTCAAGAGTTCACACGCCTAGTAACTGGTACAGCCAGAATCTCAAGTCTGTGATGACAAAGCCCCCGCCATTCCCACTACTGCAAACAGCCTTGGTGGCATCTTGGAGGAGTCTGACCTTTATTCTGAAGGATATGGGAATGTAAGGATATTAAATGCAAGGACTGGCACAGTCAAGCCTGTACTTTAGAGAGGTCTGACACCATTGTACAGAATGCTCTGAAACTGGCAGGAAACTAGAGAATTACAGTAAAATTTCACATAAGAGGAGATCAGAGGAAAAAAAGAAAAGCTTGGAGTTTGGACTGGGAGGATGACAGTGGAAGTAGAGAAAAAGATGGACAAATGAGCTGTTTAGGACTTTGGATTAATAAGATTGGTACCCTACACCACTGATAAGAAAAGGTAAAGATTTTCAGCTTGGATAACCAAGTCCACGGAAATGTTATCAACTAAGGAAGCCAAAAGGCAGAGGAGACAAGGGGAGACAGAGGAGACCAGAAGACCTAAGAACTTACAAACATGGTAAGTTTTGAACGTAGAAGCCATTAGGAAACATGACTGTAGAAAAATCAGGAGAGTAGTAAGGGCTGGGAATAGAGGGCTAAGAAACAAACAACAGATGTGAACTGTCGATGAAATCACACCAGTGGCTGAAATAACCAAACCAAAAAACACACACACAAAAAACAAAAAAAAAAACCTGTTGGGCGTGAGCTGGGCTGAGAAGAGAAGTGCAGACAATGACTAAAGTCAGAAAGGACCAGGAGAGGTTGTGTGCCGGGACCTGAGGGAGCTGGTGGTTTCAGGAAATAAAAAGGTTAAAACCATTTAATGTGCTACTGGAAGGTCCAGTAGGATGACCGGTGGCTTTAGAAATTAGGTAGTTACTGTAGATCTTTATAGAGAAATAGTGGTGAATAAAATAATAAACACAAAGTAAAAGAGTGTGCAGATAAATTTGGCACCGATGGAAAAGAAAAATATTATATAAAAAACAATCCAAAGTGTAAAGCACTTTAAGAAAAACTAATTTCCTCTCGAGTCTTTGAAGCTTTGCTATCATCAATAAAAGCTGTACTTACAAAGTTCAAAGTCTATTTATTGAGGTGAAGACATATAACAAGAAGTCTGTATTTGCAGAAGCATCAAACTTCTAAAAGAAATACTAAGATGTTTTATGACTTGAAAAGAAAAAGAAATATCTTTTCATTTAGGCATGGCTGAATTAACATCCACATTGTTTTTCCAAGGGAACACTATGACTTTGGAGTTCAAGTTTGCAACTCTTGCTATACACTGAGATTTAAATACTTCTCTCTCAAGAATAAGTAAAAAAATTTCCACCAATTTCAAAACTAAATTAGATCTCTTCTTATGTACCAGTTAATTGTGTTTCATAGTGAAATTAATGAATATAAAGGTTCTACTGTCATCTGTCTCTTAAGTGCAGTAGGAAAAAAAGCATCATCGGACAGAGTCAATATAAATTTAAAAAGCTGTGCCCCCCCCCATTTACTACAATGCAAACACATGTAACACACACATACTCTTCCAAAACTCAGCAGGCTTCACAGAAAACCAAAAAGAACTGAAACGACAGGATTCAGCAATGCTCTTCTTTCCTGAATGAACATGGACTCCTTTCCTGATGCCCGTACTGTTTACAAGACCAGATCAGCCAACTTAAAATTCTCAGCTAATACATTACAACCCCTGAGACTAAGCAAAGCCTGCGCAAGAATAATGATTATAGAACTTTATCTGCCTCCACTAACATATGATTCAGAACTATGTATTATTAAAATAGCTTAAGGTATACATTCATGGATACTGATGCGCACTATAATTCGAAAATCCCATGAGAACAAACTACAGGTAAATACTAATAATATAAGTAAAAGCTATTAGAACACTACATTTTTAAAACAAGAATTCCAAGTGAATTTTGAACTGAGAAACACAATACATATGATACAGATACATACAATAGCCTAACAGTTCTCAAAACTAGATATTTACAATTAAAACAAAGCTGAAGTTAGCATACACAGAACTTTAAATATCCAATATCTGTATTTCATACTATCTCACTCCCAAACACAGGCTCATATATCTCATTTAGAGATGCCTAAAGGTTATTTATAGGTGATAACA